TACTTTTGAATAACTTTGAAACCTTTGAGGAAACACTATTGTAAAAAAATGGATCTACTAGCTTGTTTATAAATATTTTCACCCTTTTTGCCTCAATTAGTATTATTTTTGGAGCATATCTTAGCTTGGCAAACTTTTTCTCATACTCGTCACCATCATATCAAAAGTTTGCACTAACCTTTCAAATTTCTTAGCCTTCTCTTCCTTGATACTTTTCGATAAATTGCTCCTCTAGGAAAGCTTCCTTAAACTATCCCCAAAAGCAATGATGTTTTCTCGTCCCATTTGCACAATTTGCTAGCACTTCCCTCAAGCATGAATACTGCCGGTTCAACTTTTCTTTCCTCGGGACATCGAAACACTACTAGTCTCTTCTCTATCTCATCAACATAGTGCATCGAGTCCTTATCATCCCTATTACCCGAATAAGTTGGCGACTTCAATTTCAAGAACTCTACCACATATGGGTCAAACAAACTAATCCCGATCAAATGTTGGCTATAGAAATACCTACTCTATCTAATCCTTGATTAGTAGACAATAACCACCGCCATAGCTTGAAAAGTTTATTAAATTTCCTCAGCTACGGTCTCATAAGTGTCTTGTATAGTATAAAACTCAACCATGACATCAATCGGCATCATCATATTAGGGTCTTCTTCTTCTCTAATGTTACACCTACTACGAGATCATGAAGGTCTAGATGATGCCTTAACCTCAAGCACCTCCTCTATGATCACCCGATCTAGTCCTCACTATAGTAACCTATACGAGACAAATTCTAAGCTTAGCACATTTCAAAAAGGCAATCAATCAATGCATAATTCATATAATCTTTATTCCCTCTTTCATTAAGCTTGCTTATACTTAAGAATGAGATAAAAAAATTTGGGGTTTAAAAAAGGAAAATAACAAATTATAATGAGTAAACTCGAGCCAAAGCACATACAAATCTAACTATATAAGGAACAAACTAAATCAACATGAAAAATCAAGTTAAAAGAGAGAAGCACATAGGTAGAAGGGGGTACATAAGGTTTGAAGAACAAACGGACACATCCGTGCACGATTTAACTCAATAAGTCACATGGGCGAAAAGAATTAAACATGACTTGTGTAAGAAAGTGACACGCCCATACGAGTTCTAAACACAAGGAGAGACACGGGAAGAAGGGTTCAAACATGGTTTGTTTAGAAAATTGACACACCCGTGCATGTCCTAGCACAAAGAGGGACATGGATAGAAAGAATTTAACACGATTTATAGAATAAATTAACTCGTCCATGAGTGTATTTAACTAGATGAGAGACATTGCGAAAAAGATCAACACTATTTGTAGAAAAAATTTAACACAACCATGTCTAACTAATAAAATTATAATCCAAGAAAGAAAAGGAAGCCATACGGGCGAAGCAACTTACACGATTTGAAAGGAAAAAATGACATGACTATGCGTCTTAATAAAATTTGTTCAAAGAAGAAGGAAATGCCATATGGGTAGTAGCCAAAAGGCATGGATTGAGAGGAAAATTGACATGATCATGTATTTAATCAAGTCATGTAAAGGATTTTTGCACAATAAAATTTACTTCTCCCACGTAATATTAGACCATAATCATAAAGACTAAAATGCACATTAATAGATCGATCCATGTGATTCAATGCAAAAAATGAATTAGAATAGAACCTATTCTCTGCAGTTATCCTAGACTCTATAACCTATGCTTTGTAGTTATCTTAAATGTTATAACCTATACTCGATATTAACATTTTTCATGATCCTAAGAGTGGGCCATGATCAACGTAAGGATTGAGGGAATCGTGAGGCCCACCTAGATCCAAGTAAGCCTCGAATATTAATCTAAAAGTCTCAAATATCATTTCAATTTGTATTATCCTAAATTAATAATCATTATATCACTCTAACACAAATCATAATTTTAATACCATAATTGCATTTCACAATCCATATTCATAATTAATTCCTAGTACAATACCCAAATCTATAACCACAGAGCATCTAAGAATACATTTAGAACAAACATAGGTTCAAAGAAATTCATAAAGAAGTGAGCCATATGGTCAATGTGTTGACTTCAAATCAAGTAGTCAAAAGGAAACAATGAGCAATCCCTCAACATCCTACAAGATTAAAATAATGAGGGTAAGCAATCCACGACTCGGTAAGTAGACATTATATAAGATATTAAGGGAGGAAAATGGACAAAGAACGATAATTTTAAATTCATCTTAACATGTTATGCTAATTTCTCAAAATACATGCATATCAAAAACACATCTTATATCACAAACCAAATGGTTTAAAACTAATTTGGTATCAAATCGTTGAAATATTTATATATACATATATCATGCTCATATAAAAATACTTATATATGTTTTTATAAACCTATAGAGTAATAACATATCATTGGGTGCGAATACCCAAAGGTCATGCCCTTCATGACTAGGTTTCGCTTGTTGGCCAACACGAAGCTAGTGTTACACCTCTTCTACTAGATAGAGTCTCGTACCATCGAGCTCAAAAGCTACCCTCCCGATAGCTAGGTTCTCCAAGGTCTCAAAAATGTTTTTCAAAAATCGAACATACTTATAAATTTTTAAATCAATTTTCAAATACCATGCATGTATTTTTAGAAGTTATATGTATAATCAAAATAACATTTATAACACATTTTATCAAGTCCGAAAACACATATCAAACCTCTTTCTAGTTCATATCAAATCATTTTGATACGAAAACATTTCAACGTTCATGATGTTTGTTCTCTTCTAAGTTCTAATGGAATGTTTTTAAATCATTCTCAAATTAATGATGCATGATAAACATAACTTAAAGAATGTAAAACATGGTACACTATATAATATCCACTCACGAGTACAATTTGAAGAACCAAACGAAATCAAGGTTGTGATGGAGTTGCCCGCTCCGAGGAATCTAACATCACAAGATGATGGGGCATCCGTCAATATCGTATCTCGAGGAATAATTCAAAACGGTGAAAATAAGCATATAAGATAATCAAATGAAAACGAAATTAATTGGGAAGATTTGATTCGATAATCTAACTAAATCCGATTATCTCTTAATTGATTCTAAACAATCATCTAATCACATTCCATTACCAATCTTTAGCTCATTCCTTAAACAATCAACATTCGGTAAATCAATCCTTAATTCGATTTAATGATCAATTCTATTCTAATTCATCCAATAATCATTTTATTTACCTCTAATTATACTTTTATGACTTACTTCCTCATTTTTTTCAAATTCTTTCCAATTAAAACCTAAATTTGAATTTGTCATTATTAATCATTTTCAACCTCTCAATTTCTCAAATTCACTTAATTCTATTTCAAATTAACTTCTTATTTTACTTATCTAAGTCAATTTAACATCATTCAAGTCATTACAATAATCTAGAATCACTTTTTCCCAAATAGGTTTCAAAATCCTAACCTTAATCTAATCAATTCCTCAAGTAAATTATAATCTAATGTAATTGCATCTCAATATCATCATTAACTACACATTAACTTCATAATTTAAAGATCAATGAATCAAAATCTTACATTTTACTTTATTAAATGCTTAATTGAATTTTTGGAATGAATTCCTAGCCTATGAAAGTTTTATAAAAATAATGGCATTAAATCTTGATTAAATAGTCACTATTCATGGATTATTTTCTAATTGAATGTAATACATGATAATTAAATTATTTTTGAAATAAAATCAATATCAAATAATAGTACCATATTGTATGGAATATTTAAAAATAAAATAATTCTAAATAAATTTTTATATGAATTTAAAAAAATTAAGAAAAATAAGAAATATAGTTCAATTTAATTTAATGTAAGATATTTTATTAAAATGATTAATTTGGATTTCAAGATATGGATTTTTAACCGTATAGCAATAATTTCCATATTCCAGCTCAAGTTAAAAAATTAGAAAAAATAAAAATAAAAAACACAGAGATATTTGCTGTGTATTTGAGTGGCTCATCTCTCAACTCTATCTATATCGTATTTGGTCAATGAGATTTCTTGTACAAATAGGATTGTTATAAATGCTGGCAAATGCCAATCTTGTTGCTTGCACTTTAAGAAAAAATAAAAATAAAATAAAAAACACTCTCTCTCTCTTTTAGCAACAACAAGGTATTATCTCTGCTTTCTTCTATTATTTTCTATTACACTGTTTTGTTTGGTTCTTGAGAAAACCCTTGGTAGGAAAAAAAGAAAACAAGACAAAGAAAGAGCTCGCGAAATGCGTGAACGGTGCGTTTCATACATGGAATTTTTGTGTTTCTGAATAAAATACTGTTTTTAAGGGTTTTGTTTTGAGAAATATGCTGTATTCCAAGAATAAATCACTCATGGTTTTGAGTTTTAAGAGTGATTTTCTTGTGTTTTCAAGAAGCTAGGTTTTGAAAGAAAATTAATTCTTGGAATTTTTTTTTCTTTTTTGTGTTTTGTTTCTCAAAAAACAGAAAGGAAAAAAATTAAAATCATATCCTATTTTAAAATTGGTTTTTAAATAAAATCAATGTGAAAAATAGTGTCAGTTTGGTGGATCTGTTTAAGTATTAATTTCTGTTTTTTTTTTTTTCCCGAGAAACAAGACAGAGAAAATTAAAAATGAAGCATGTCATTGTTAGTTAAGTTGAATGAAAATTAGGTTTTTTTTTTTTTTCCCTTTTTGAATCAGTCTGAAGGGCAGAGCCTTTTTGCTTTTTAGACATTTTCAATCCTGTCGCTGAAATAAAGAGAGAAATGTTATAGAAGCTCCAATTTCCATATTAAATGAAAAATCGAGCTTTAATAATAATTAAAAAAGAAAGCCCTCTGTTTCTTCTCTTTTTATCTGTTGTTAAATTAAAGATTATGTAAAAATTAGTTTTCTGGGTTACAAATTGGGGTTTTAATAATCTGCTGCTGCTGCTGCTGCTTTCAGAACTGAAGAAAGATGGGTCAAGCTTTTGGTTGCATTAAAGTGGACCAGTCTAATGTTGCTATTAAGGAACAGTTCGGAAGGTTTAATGATGTGCTGGAGCCTGGATGCCACTGCCTACCTTGGTGTTTTGGATTCCAAGTGGCTGGTGGACTTTCTCTTCGTGTGCAGCAACTTGATGTTCGTTGCGAAACAAAAACTAAGGTTACCTCTTATGCTTCTTCCACTTATGATTAATAAATAATTGCTTTTAGTGTTTTTGCTCATAAATTTTGATTAATGCTATCTTTTCAGGACAATGTATTTGTAACTGTGGTTGCATCTATTCAGTACCGTGCCTTGGCACAGAAAGCAGCTGATGCCTTCTATAAGCTCTCCAACACCAAGGAACAAATCCAGGCCTATGTTTTTGATGGTACGTAGATCTGCTTTTTGTACTTCTTGGGATTTGTGAATAAAAGAACTTTTTAATGATTAAATATGTGGAATTGATTAAACGAGCAATGGCATTGAACTTAGTGTTAGATGCGTAGGGGAAATGGTTATATATATGATACTTACAGCTAACTTCTGCTTCTGCAGTCATCAGGGCAAGCGTGCCAAAATTGAACTTGGACGCTGTTTTTGAGCAGAAAAATGACATTGCAAAGGCTGTTGAAGAAGAGCTTGAAAAGGTATCATCTTATTGTGTTCTGTGGAGCTTATAATTTTGGGTAGAGTACATTCTTCTGCACCATATTTAGAGGATATATAATCATGCTACTTTCCCTTCATAGGCCATGTCTGCCTATGGGTTTGAAATTGTTCAGACACTTATTGTGGATATCGAGCCGGATGTTCATGTCAAGAGAGCAATGAATGAGATAAATGCTGGTAATTTTGGGACTCTTAACATTAATTTTAAGTATTATTGTTGGATTTTGCTTACTGATTGATACTTGTATTACTGGAAGCCTTTTGCACTAACATTATTTAGGAACTACTAAATGGAAATCAGATATTCAAGATCAGTAAAATTATTTGCATACATGATTCCCAAGGGTGTATTTAAGCTTTTATTGCTTATGAAAAATGTGGTGTTCTTTCATGTGTGAGTGGGCAGTTGATCCGAAATGGGAAATTAACATGAATGTGTACTGTGTAGTTACTATGGAAAACATAATTGACTGGTTTTGCTTCCTCAGTGCAGAGAAATTTTGCTACTATAGATTAGTGTTAGAAATTTATGCTTTGAGTACTGTTTTAGGAGTTGAATCTTGACCTTTCTATGATCGTTATGAACAGCCTCAAGAATGAGGGTGGCAGCAAATGAAAAGGCAGAAGCTGAGAAAATATTGCAGATCAAGCGAGCTGAAGGAGATGCAGAGTCTAAATACCTATCGGGGCTTGGCATAGCTCGTCAGCGTCAGGCCATTGTTGATGGGCTGAGGGATAGTGTGCTTGCCTTCTCTGAGAATGTGCCTGGTACAAGTGCTAAGGATGTGATGGATATGGTGCTGGTGACTCAGTACTTTGATACCATGAAGGAGATTGGGGCGTCCTCAAAGTCGTCGTCCGTTTTCATCCCACATGGGCCTGGTGCAGTGAGAGACATTGCCTCACAGATTCGTGATGGACTTCTTCAGGGCAATTATGCTCAGCAGTAATGGAATTAAAGCTTTGAATGGATTGGCTTGGTAGATGTTTGGTATCTTAAATTTTATCTTTAGCATTTTCTTTTGTGAGTTTCTAATTTGCAAGAATCTTATTATGGTTGTGTTATTTTCACATCTGTGATTATGAAGCAGTACATATAGCGAGACAATGATTTGTAAGTAGTAGATAGGATTTGGAGGATGTTTTAATCGGCTGGTACAGTTATGGTGCCTCTACACTATATGCCAGTCTTTCTGTTATAAAACGAATCCACAGATAAAGTTTATCTTGAAAAACAGGTTGATGCATATGCATACCCTCTCTCTGATCAAATCTACCGTGGAGTTGCTCTTTCATGGCTTTGGGCTACCCAGAGGCGGAGTTTAGGGAAGCGTGAACACTAACCCTAGGACTAATCTTTAATCTGTTTACATACTGAAGGTGGAATTGGCATTTGGCTGACTTCAAGCCAACGAGCTATCCAATAGCTTTCAGGCTTGGTGTTTCACGAAGTTCCGACTCAAACAATGAAGCTATGGTTGACCTGAATTACCTAATGCGATCTTTTTTATGCAACTCGCATGTGGTATTTCTTGGATGTGACTCTTGCCTTTAAATTACCGAAGGAAACAACCTTTCATTTTCGCCTTTTGGGTGTGCATTAGAGAAAATATCTCCTACTCTATCTTTTCTCTTTATTTATTTATTGCAAATGAGAAGCATAGCAAGTCAGTCAATGTAGGAGGGAGAAAGGCTTGATTAGAAGAAGCTGTTCAAAGATCAATTGTTCTCATCAAGAATGCCACATCTTCAAAACATTCAATTACGGCATGGTTACGACATTCCCAGTTGGCAAGGATTTGGACCTCAATTATTATTATTATTTGACTATACCCACTTATCAGCTGAAACTAAGACAATCCTGGTTTGGTTTCATTCTTTTTGCCAAGGGGCCTTGTTTCTTTACTTAAAAAATAAATAAATAAATAAATAATGTACTACTACGTCAACGTCAATGTAGTAATATCGTAGAGGATACTCTGAAAGTCTTTTATTTATTTATTTTCTTGCTTGAGACAGTAAGCTGGCTGCTCTGACACGGATTGATAACTTCAATGGCAATGATATTTACCCTATACTAGTTGACTTTTCTGGTATAGGCTGTGATATGTATTTATTTAGGTTTATCGAACATTTGGTCCGGTAATGTTTGAATTTTTTTAACTTGAGATGTTTTATCATTTTTCAGTTTTATTAAAACCTCTATTTATATAAATTTGGTAATTGAAACAAATTTTTATGTACCAGCTGCTCTGACATGGATTGATAACTTCAATGGCAATGATATTTATCCTGTACTAGTTGACTTTTTTAGTATAGGTTGTGATATGTATTTATTTAGGTTTATCTGATATTTAATCAGTATTGTTTGAATTTTTTAAATTGAGATATTTTATAATTTTTTAATTTAATTAAATTTTTTTATTTTTATAAATTTATTGACTTCTTGAAGGGTTTCTATGTGATTTCTCTGTCACGCAGAATAAACTGGTCTACTATCTACTCGTGTAATGAATTTTTAACATAATCTAACCTACAGCAATATAATCTTTTTAGATCTTCAGAACATCATTGAACTTAATCTGTGAGTTAAAAAAAGCTAAGATGTCAGCCTACCTAAAGCGTGTGATTTGTGAAGATTAAGAGAGAGAGAGAGAGAGAGAGAGAGAGAGAGAAGGGGGGAGGATGGGTTGGAAAATAATAACGGTGGGGTGTTTTGGAATTTTCCTTTTTTTTGATTTATTTTAAAAAATCAGTTTTTAATGTTATTTTCTCATGAAAAAACTATTTTGCAAGACCCATTATGCCATGTGTTAATTTGTAATTGGTTATTATTAATTTTGATTTGCTACATTATATGAATAATTAACGAGAGGATCCGAATAAATATATTTATAAAAATAAAAAGTTTTAATCCAGTTGAAAACTCATAAAGAGTTTTAATTAAAAAAAAAATCAAATAATACTAGAACCAAATAATGGGATAAATCCATATTTATTTATTGGGGAACAAGGGAGTATGTTTCTTAGCCTATGGTTGGTTGATGATCATAGATATAATCAATTAAAGCGTTTACGCTTATGTGCTCTAGATAATACCGGTCAAGACATCATGAGCTAAATAACAGTTCCCATTTTTAGCTGCTTCGAAATGTCAGGTAAAGGAAACGTTTTCCATTAGAATAATAGTCTCGTGAAGGTATTACTGTTGGCACCTGGTTTCTCTTTCAATTACACACTTTGAAACAATTATACATATCCTCCATTCTCCATTGCCTTCTCTGCAATCTAATCTTTTTGGGTACGTCTCTTTCTCTCTCTCTCTCTCTCGAACACACACATAAATACACAATTAATCCTCCCCCTCCCCCTCTGTGTCTATGTTAATTTGTTATGGAACTTTGTAGTAATTGTTGAATGTTTTTGAGAATTTTAATTGTTGAATGTTGTCAAGAGAAATTCCCTTTTTACGAGCATCAGAAGATTTTTCTGTCACCTTGTGATTGGATACCATGGCACTTCAAACAACTAAGTTATTTGTTGGCATAGAGAGTAGTTTGTATACATGAAATTATATGAAATTTGAAGCACTGATGTCTCTTCAGTTATTATGTTTCTAAGGTCAACGACATTAAAATCTTCGCATGCGGTGGGGATCAGAACATCATTGTTGTGACATAGTTGGCTCTCTGTTTTTATTTTTCGAGTCTGGATCCATTCTCTCTTTTATGTATATGCTTTAGGTTGGCTGGGATCTTTTCAGGAAGTTAGCATGAGCTGGGATGATTGCACAAAAACATAAATTTGACTCGATTCACTTTTACTTCCTTTTCATTTCTTCAGTGGAAGACATCAGAAATCATACAGAAATGGGTAACCTGTTATGCTGTGTACAAGTGGACCAATCTACGGTTGCCATCAAGGAGAAATTTGGAAGGTTTAATGACGTACTTGAGCCTGGATGCCACTGCCTCCCATGGTTCCTTGGAAGTCAGATTGCTGGGCATCTCACACTTCGGTTGCAGCAGTTAGATGTTCGTTGCGAGACCAAGACAAAGGTAGGCTAAAAGTCATTGCGGGGCTTATTTCTATCTTGCTTTGATATATCAAGAATGATCAAACTGCGTTGTGCCTGTTTCTGTTTTATTTTGCAGGATAATGTGTTTGTCAATGTTGTTGCATCGGTGCAATACCGTGCCCTTGCTGATAAAGCGAGTGATGCTTTCTACAAACTTAGCAACACTCGAACTCAAATCCAAGCCTATGTTTTTGATGGTATGAAACTTAAGAAACCTGTAACAAGTAGTATTGATTAGCGAACGTAGTACATGGTCAGGAACTGAACTTCATGGAATTTTTCTCAGTGATCAGGGCAAGTGTTCCAAAACTAAACTTGGATGATGCTTTCGAGCAAAAGAATGAAATAGCAAGAGCTGTTGAAGAGGAGCTTGAAAAGGTATATATCCATTCACAAGGTGACAGAAAAATCTTCTGATGTTCCTAAAGCACGCACAATTCCTTGTTGACATTTAACATCGTATTTGCAATGATTTTTAGGCCATGTCTGCTTATGGTTTTGAAATCGTCCAGACACTTATTATTGATATAGAACCTGATGAAAATGTGAAAAGGGCCATGAATGAAATTAATGCTGGTGAGACATCCATAAATTTTTCCACTGATATAGTGTAAATAGCTGCTTGGATGTTGATTCACTGAGCAGTTTTCCTTCACATTTCCCTGCTCACAAGTAGTTGAACTTCTACAGCTGCTAGGCTGAGGTTAGCTGCTAAAGAGAAAGCAGAAGCTGAGAAAATTGTCCAGATTAAGCGAGCTGAGGGTGAGGCTGAGGCCAAGTACCTAGCAGGGTTAGGTATTGCCCGGCAGCGCCAGGCAATTGTTGATGGTCTGAGAGACAGTGTGCTTGGCTTCTCTGGTAATGTGCCAGGAACTACAGCGAAGGATGTTTTGGACATGGTACTTATCACGCAATACTTTGACACCATGAAGGAGATCGGTGCTGATAGTAAAACCTCAGCTGTTTTTGTACCCCACGGGCCTGGTGCTGTTAAGGACATTGCTACTCAGATCCGAGATGGGTTGCTTCAGGCGCAGACATCCTCTCATCATTAAACTACCAACATTTTACGGAGCAAGCTCCCTCTGTTGTATCATGTGTGGTTGTTTCTTCATCTAAACTTGTCAAATATTCAAATGTAACTGAAAGAGATACATGGGAGATAAGTTTTCACTTGTAAATTCTATCATGTGTGTGGTTGTTTCATCTAAACTTGTCAAATATTCAAATGTAACTGACAGAGATACATGGGAGATAAGTTTTCACTTGTAAATTCTATGTTCTTAATATATTCGTGAATTGCGTGCAATTTTCATCAATATTTATAGTTCCTTTCGCTTCGGATGGTTTGCACCTTGCACATTTCAGTCGTTTCAATTTCAGTGTACTGGAGAACTCTAAAATGCTCCATGAAATGGCTTTGTTCTGCTAAATTGCAAGCAAGGGCATGACATTCATTCACTTAACGCTGGCTGACATCCTGAACCTGTCACACTCACACCAGGCTGTGTGTTAATTAGATCGACCAATATCAGCTATGTCTTTGTTCTGCTAAATTGCAAGCAAGAATCCTATCAATTACTACTTAGTATTTTGGGTTCACCAATCCAGAAATTAACAATTACTTCAGCAATGTAACAAAGAAAGTGAAACCTGATTTATAACTGCAGAAATGCAAATTGGGCAACACAATGATGAACTAAAACCTCTAAAATAACTGGTATTCCACCTCATTTAACTTGGACCGAGAAAAAGATTGTGGGAATTCATAAAGTACCAGCATGTTATGACCCCTCTAAATTTTATTTCTACATTGAAAACCAGTAAAACAGAAAGAAAGAGGCATGCATCACCATGAGAACGCTATTCAAATTATAATGGAGCAGAACATTCATGGCTTGAAAGCTAGAGCCAATCCAACCTTTGCACTCTTCTCAATGGCCTTGGTGTCTACCTCTCCAGAAATGGTGAAGAAAGACTTTGGCCGCCACTCATGTTGAACAAGTGTGCTTGCCTTGCCAGCATTGTTCACCCGTGCCTTCAATGTGGTCAATGGATCCAATGCATGCTGTGCACCAACAGTAATTGTGTTCTCATTGGACGAGAAGCTATGGTTCACTTCCGCACCAACAGCAGTCAAGGGGTTCACAATATGGTAGTAGGATGCATGGAGAGAATCACCCTTGTTGTTCCTGCAACATGTCATATACAAATTGTATCATTTAACAGTATCAGTACACCAAATATAACAGTATTTTACTAACAAATTAAATGAAGCCAGGATCTCAAAGGGCAGAATAATACATATAGAGGAGACACAAATTTACTATAGTTTTTCTAATTTTATGATGTAACAATCAAATGTGTATTTAATCGAAAAAATAAATGTAATCATAAAAGGAATTAAAGATAATCTGATTGCAAATCATGTTAAAGATTCATAAACCAAACTAAGAATATAAATGAGATAAATAAAATCTAAAAAAAATGAGATAAATATATAAATTACAAGGTAGAAAAAATAAACACATCAACGACTTTGACACTTAAAATATATGCCTTCAATATGATTTCTTGTCCAATTCTGTCCCTGTTTACTCCATTTTTTACGTACTCGTTTTTTTTTTTTTTTTTGGGTAAATAGTACTGTTTGTCCTTACATTTCCAAATATTTCAAAAAGGGAACATGGAGGTCATTCAATACAAGAAATTTGTTTTTTCTTTTTCAATATTTTTATTAATTTAACCTTTTTTCTCATTTACCAAACAAACTAGAGGCTCAAGTTCTTGAGTCATAGCAAAAAACTAAAACGAGTTGTTTCAAAAGGGCCCTAGCAAGCTGCCTCCAGACTACCACTAGGAAAAATTGTTCTAATGCTGTATTTTTTACAAAATAATACTACCTACTACTTTAGGAAGCCAAGTATTAAATTCAGGCAAACCTCTTTGCAATAAACAGAAATCATGCTGGTTGTTGAGCAGATAATTTTAAACTAACTTGCACAAAGAGGAACTACTCACAAAGTCAATGCAGCAACTAGGTCTACAGTGGAGAAGCTAACTCCAGCATTGCATTTGGTAAAGTCCCCAGTTTTTGTGTCAAATGAGAGATCTGTTCCAAGCGAGGCAACATTGGTCCCAATCACACCAGAGAAGTTAACAGATGGGTTTACTGTCAACCCGATGCTTGAGTTTACAGCTGCATAGTCATGCAGATACTGTACTTCAACCTGTAAACATACAAAGATCAAAATGAGGCAGAAATCATAATGGTCAGCATCTGCATATCAGTGAATGTTCTGAGGAACAGAGGAACTTTAGAGAGCATATTTTCAAAATTCTTTGCATTCTCAGGGAAAACATCGCAACTGAAAGTTGATCCAATATTAAGTAGTTTACCTTTCCAGACCTTTGTTCAGGAATTTTGAAGCTAAAGATTGCCTTCAAACCAGGAGCAGGTTCATCAACTGTAATGGTGGTAAAGAGCTGGCAACAAAGCAAATTAAAGATAAGACAATAGATGTTTAATGAATCCAGGCACCAAAAAGCAATAGAAAAAAAATTAATAAAAGCAAGAAAAAGTTCATCAAAATAGTGCACATTATGAAATTGGGAGCCATTGTAAAATACTTACCGATGCCAGAAACATTATCTACAGTTATGCAACACAAGAAATCACTGAATATATATAAAAATGACAGAAAGATGATATGTCAAGCATGAGCTCCTTTTCTATCTTAATATTTGACGTCCTACAAATACATGCACTTGAATCTGCAAGCGCATACAACTGGCTAAATGTCCATCACCAGTAACAAGTCTATTGCACCACATACATATAAAATGAGAACAAAACAAATAAATATCTTACATTGGAGCTTGTGTCCACTTTGATGTCAGTGGTGATGTTCTTGTTCTTCAGCTGAGTATTGATATCAGCAACAAACAGATCACCTTTCTTAGTTCCAGAGGATGTGATAGCCTGCAAAATAACAAAGAAGATAACAAAAAAGAAAAAAGAAAATCAATAAAATAAATTGGGTGAAGATACACTTCACTTTGAAAAAACGACTCATAACAAACTGAGGCAACTCAAGTAACAGAATCAAGATTTCTAGATCCAAGACCAGGACCTCGAATCAGAGTGTGCCGGGCTTAAGCTACTAATTTAGATGGTTTGAGTTTGCAGAGCATTCAACAACTAATGACCATAAGAACTGCGTAAACAAATTCCATCATATCTATCATCTCATTACAAAAAACCAACCAACGTTCGGAAAAATTAAAGAAAACCCATTTTCCCCATAAATACTGTCACTAAAAATAAAATTGGAAGATTAAAAAAAAAAAAGAATCAGAAGCAGAAAAGAAAAGGAAACTACTTACAACACCAGTAGCAGAGTAGGTAGTTAGAGTGAACTTATGATCAGTCTGGTAGTCCTTGTACAATAGATCTATTAAATTTAAAACCCATCAAGAAAAGAAAATATACATAAAAAAATCTTCCAATAAATATACATGCATGCACATCTCTCTCTCTATACAAATATATTTATATATGTGAGCATATATTTCACAAAGAAAGAGAGAGATGGGGTTTGTTTGTACCTCTGGCTTTCTTGCCAATTTCAGTGTAAAGGCCTGGACCCTTAACCATGACTGAATTGATTCTTGAAGAGAAAAGATTTGTTGTTGTAGCAGAGAGAAATGGAGGGGGAAAGGGAGGTGGAGCTTTATTTATATATACTAGGAGGAGTTCAAAAAGCTCCAAAACCCTAATTTCTGATTATTGGTATTTTTTATCGGTGAGGTTTCTATTTCTTTTTTGTACCGTTGGATTGCCAGGATAAGTGGGTCTTAACCGTTGATTTATGATAGACGTTAGTATTTTCTTGACCCGTTGTCCAAGGCCCTCTCTTTCAGAGCACTTGAATGTGAATAATTATAAAACTTTTTTCTTGTTTTGTTTTTCTTTTTCCTCAAGAATAGGGATTTTTTTTTAATTATTAATTTTATATTATCTTATCTCTCTGTAGGGTTTAACGGTTATGCCTGGGTTCTGTTGGGCTGGGGTGAGCCTTTGCCTTACCTAATTGCAATAATGACCCACCAATCATAGCATTTTCTGCTACAACCACACATGTTATGGTTATTTGGGAATTTTAAGACATAAAATTTAAACTACGTAAATATAGTCCCTAAAAAAAAAAAAAAAAAACTTTGAACCTATACATGTTAAATAGAAGCTCTTTTTTTTTTTTGAGAAAATGGTTACGTTTGTCTTTATACTGGGCGAATTTTTAATATATTTTTATATTTTTAATTGAATTAATTTTATTTTTAGAAAATGACTAAGCTTTCAATACCATTATTAGAAAGTATTATAAATCTCTTACAACGAAGCTTTGTTCTTGATCACCATACTAGGGATAATTTTATTATTTCACATGAATTAAATAAATCTTAAGAAGGCTTGTGATAGATTAAATTGGAGCTTCCGAAGCATACATTAAGAGACTTTGGATTTCCAAGTCGATTATTTGATTGATAATGAAGTGTATAATAATATTTTCATTTTCTATATTGTAGAATGGAAATAGGCTCTATAATTTCAAGGACAAACGAAGCTTTGCTAAGGGATCTTTTTTCTCATATTTATTTTATCCTATGTATGGAGAAGCTTTTTTTTTTTTTTATAAAAAAAAGGTGCAACAAGGAGAATGGAAACCTATTTGGTATTCTAAATTAGGTCCAACTAGATCTCATCTACCTTTTACAAATGATGTTTTCTTCACTAAAGCTTTCATAGTCAAGCTCGAGTTATTCATATCACTTTGAATGTGAGTTTTGTAGTGCTTTGGATATAAAGGTAAATGAGTAGAAATCATATATGTATGATGCCTTTGTGGCTTGTGTTGTTATCCAATATATAAGACTTCCAATGATTAAAAAAAAAAGGAGTTAAAATTTGAAATTGTCATCTAATATTGAAAAAAAAATTAGAAAACCTAAAAAAAAAAAACACTAGTTTCAAAGATAACATATAATAAATTAGTTATGTGTTGTCGGCAAGATAATAATCAACTAAAAACATTCTTTGATAAGAAAGGTTACCAAATTTATTCTAATCTTAAAATTATTTTCTAAATATATTGTTTGTCAAAAAAAATTTTAAGTCTATTTTCAAACTTATTGGCGAGTTAGGTTACTATAAATTTGGAATTAATTTGGGAAGAATTAATTCTTCATATTTTTCTAGGGGATCGATTTGAGCAATAAGAGTTTTGTTATTTATCATGAAATCATATTAAATTGACGTCGGACTTATCATTGGATCCAATTAAGTCATGACATGATTGACATATCGGGAACAACTTAATAAATTAAAGGCGAAGTCAACTTGGGATGCAAAAAGAAACTAGCACACACACGCTCCTTGCTAATTCACTTTTTCTTTTCTTTGCTCTTTTTTATTTTAGGTAAAATTCATCGAGATAATTGTTGGTTTCTAAAACTAGGAGGCTCATTGTCGTTGTTTTGATGCAATGGTTCTTAATAAAATGTGATGGCATGTCGTATTATCAACAAATTAGTTATTTATTTGTTTTCCTCATTAAACCCAACCACAAGGGTGTAGATAGGGCAAGTAAGGGTCAAACTCACAGGAAAGTAACCTAATTAACGATTTCTATTATCTTATTGTTCCGTAGTGCAAAGAAAGTAAATGAGGGTTTGTGTTTTTTGTGATTTGTAAATAATAAAAAATAAATATAAATAACAATAATGAGAAAGGCCTTAGTTGAAGTTCAATATCAACTTTTGATTTAGCCATTGATTATTGATTCAATTATTAACCTATCCTTAACATGAATATTCACGGTAGGACAACAACATATATGTTATCCCCAATTTTTCCTTGGTGATTCGTTTACCAAATAGACGCTACTTGATTAATTCCCTAACTATTAAACAACCTACTAGATGTTAGATAGATTTAATCTAATTACGGTATTAAAGTAGAGAAAGATAAGTAAAGCTAAACCGTCCTTCTAGATGCTAGAAAGATATAATCTAGTTCTATGTTTTTCAAGAGATTAAACAAAAATGCATTTATAATCATTAACCCCTAGTTACTATCATAAGTAAGTTTAGACAAGCAATTACACGTGACTTGAATACTTAGCTAACAATATATTATGATGATCAAAGAACTAGTGTGCACTCTAATAAATTAATTACATAATTATAATCAAATCCTACGAAAAAAATATAAAATACTCAAAAGGAATAAGTTTAGAATTAAAACATGTTAATATCTCACAATGATTTAACCAAAAGCTTCAACTTCTTTTAACTAAGATAGGTGTTTATTAGTTTATGGCCGATTCTAATAGAGAAATTTCTATATATGGTGGCTACTAAAAGTGGGAATCCTAAAATAAAATCTTAGTCTTTTTATTTATAGCTAAAAGTAGGGTTATAACAAATACATATCGATCCTACATGGCTAAACGGATTACTTAGTAAAGCCATACGGTTTGCTCTTCTATTTCATATGGTTTAGAGCATCGAAGAGCTAGTAAAGCACGGTTTGCTAGATAGAAGCACACGACCGTGTGCTTTTTACACTCCATCTCATGTCCCTAAGCATCCGCCCATGTAGAATTTTACCTTCATCTCCGTGTCACTTCATTCTATTAGTGTGCCTTTGTTGCTTCATTCTTTTTGTCGTGACACACACGAACGTGTCTCTTCTTTAGTGCATTCCATATGGAATGAGCACTACCCATGTGATGCTTATTTCCACTTGGAAGGTATTTCGACTTTGACATACGTACGAGCATGTTGCTTTTCTTACTCGGTTGTGTGAAAGGCTATTGCTCGTATGGCTTTATTGCTGAATAATCCACACAGCTTTTTCTTTATTTCACATGACCAGTAGCGTTTTTCTTTGTAATTTGTATGGTCATGTGACTCTTAAACTTCCTTGGTGGCTTGTGCTTCTCCTTGCTTTTAGCTCGGGTTTCTTTACTCAAATTTGCCATTTTTTAAGAAAAACCTAAGATCGTTATCTTGATCTTAATTTACTAAATATATTACAATAAATACTAGAAAGTTCAATGTAAAATAACATAAAAATCATGCTAATAATACACTCATCAAATACCCTCATACTTAAACTTTGCTAATCCTCAAGCGAAACAAATAAAATAAAAACCTAACTCACTTTTATAGGAATCATGATTGTATTTAGCACATGCAATAAGCCTTTAAACCCCTAGATTACACCCAATGAACAACTTATGTCTCATAAGGGTTTTCGGATGATAAACCTTCAAAATTGCTTAGATGAATGTCATGTAAGTATGATTATCCTTTAAACATTGATGCTCAATTCAAAATTTAACAAAATCAAATAGTCAAATCGATCATGTTCAAGGCATTATTCTTGTATCTATGCATGTCTCTAAATTGATTTATGCATCTTTATAACTAATCACAATTAAAGCATGCAACACCTATTTTGCCCTTATCCTTTTTTCCACTCGCTACAAGCAAAGTAATAAATTGAGATTTCCTTTTGATCAAAAATTTTCCCTTTTTAGCATCCTAATTTTTTCAAGGCCTTTAATAGCTCTTCTCTAAGTAATAACTTGCCTTTTTACGCAACTATTGATATTTATGATGAAGGCAATCAATTACTTAGCAAGTCATTAATTTAGAATGCTTTGCATACTCATAATTTAAATTATCATTTTTCATAAAAGTAAACATTTGGGATGAATACTCTTAGTTATTAAGTAACTCAAATCATTGGTGTAGGTTTTTCTTTACTCAATTAGGCCAACTTTTCTAATTTGAATGCTTTATTTTTCTTTTCTTTTTTAATTTCTATAAAAGTTAGGAAATCTCATTTATTTAAATCATTATTAGGTCTAGTTTCGGAGGGTACTTGTAAAATTAGCATTATTACCTAAATCATGTTCAATCATAAATACATAAAGTTTTCTAGCACATATGCACTTCTACAACAATAATATCTAAAAAAATCTCAATCATTTTATCAAATTCTATTAAAATTCATGATCAATCAGCGAATCAAGAAGGACATCATACTAAATCATGATATTCATTAATTTTCTTTTTCATTTTGTATAAGAGAATAACCTAAAATTCAAACATATACAAACAATTATAAACATAAAATAATACAAAGAAACCTAAATGCTATCCCATACTTAAATCGGACATTATCCTCAATGTTCAAACAAAATTGATCAACATAAAAATAAAATACTAAGATAAAGGATAAAGGATCAAATCTATTTTTTCACAACACTCAAAATAAAGGTGGTAGAGGTGGTGAAAAATGCACCATGAAGGTGTTAAAGAGGTTGTTGACTTGATCGTTGACCATTTGAAGATCGACCACCAAATTGTTATCGATATACTCGGAGTTGCTCATTCACATAGTTAAAATAACTATTGCAGCTTAATTTGAAAGTCATCTAACTATGAGGCAACCGCTCCATCATGTACGATTGGGCACTCGAGGTGCCTTATTGTGGAACCTCGTTTAGTTGCTCTTTATCTTCTTTGCCATCATTGTCACTTAACTAACTTTCCACCTCTTTATTAATACCCAATTTTAGGTCA